TAATGACTGATAGTCCACTAGGAATATCTTTGGGGGGCAGCGCTAGCATTATTTATACCACTCATCTATGTCTAAATGAAGCCTGTTATTCCAGTCAGATAGGACTAAAGTTATCTGTAAACATAATGTCTGAGCTCCGTGTGGTCATCGGCGAGTTACACATTAAACAGACTGATAAGGAAGAAAGATTTCATAATTACAAAATAAAGAACAATGTGTAATTACAACTCAAAGACCTCCTGATCATGAAAGAAAACTAATAGTTATCTGATAAAAGATAAAGATCTCGTAGCTACGAGCAGAAATTGTGGGATAAAGAGTGTAAATATTAAGTAAAAATAAAGATCTTGTCTCGTAAAACCAAATCTCATATTGTCCCTGTAAATAACAACAATGAGTTCAGTCTCCTGCTGTTTTAGAAAGTCAGATAACTTCTGTTATGAGTTAATAAAATTAAAAGATAAAATGTCTTCATGTGAAGAATGCAGAGATCTTCAGACTGAACACTGACAGCTGTGCTCGTAGCAACAGTGCTAACATAAGCTAACATTAGTTAACATTAACTAACATAATGCTATACCGTCTATACTGTATCTGTGCTTGTTCTTAATGAATTATTAACATTTATAAGATGTAATTAAATAAATTGAATTAATTTGGGACATAGTGTTAATATGCAGCATCCTGCTGAAAGTCCTGATCCAGCAGTGACAGGAAGTGACAGGAAGTGACAGGTGGTAACCGTGCAGTGATGTAAAACAGGTGCAGGAAATGTAAAGGAAACTTATTCAACCTTTAACTGGACTTCCTGTCTCAACTGAGCATGCTCACTAAAATGATTCCACTTAAAGTGGGCGGGGCTTTCTCATCCTATTGTTTGTCTGTAACCATGGCAACAACAAAAGGCTGCTCTCCTCGTCCACCTGCGCGGAGGTCACAGGTGAGGTGGGCGGAGCTTCCGGGGGCTCAGAACTCGACCTTGCAAGCAGGGAAGGTCTCCTCTTGCATGGCAACGGTGCTGTTGCTGCCCAGCACGGTGATCGACAGCTCCCTCTGCCTGTCATGGGTCTCCTGGTACCACTCGTGCATTGCCAGCGAATCAAAGGTTGGGATCAAAGTCACCTGAGGACAGGTCAGAGGAACGGACCAATCAGGATTAGGGTTAGCAGATCATAAGGAGGTCAGCAAAGAAACATTAGTCAGTGTTTTTACGGACCTGGACCTCCGGCCAGCTGCTCTTCCCCTCCAGCAGAGCGTCCAGGATGCTCCTCATCGCTGCCTCCTTCACTGGATCGTCTCCGCTGACGATGTAATGTGAAGAGCGGAGACGTCTGAAAAACTCCAGGTCCACGGTGGAGGAGGCGCAGCCAGACGGCAGATAGGCCAGGTCCACGTAGACGGCAGAACCCTCAGAACCTGCAGCTTTGGACACTGGGACAAAGTCAAAAGAATGAGAAACTGTTTCCCTCTGAAAAATCTTTGTGAATCAGGACTGATTTTAAATTGGAGGTATGTTTTAGACCACTAGTTCTCTAACTATGGTACCGCTGGGGATACGAGAGCTCTCTCTAGGGTGTACGCGTACGTTTATACGCGTAAGTACTTGTTACTTCCTGTTTACTATTTACGAGAATAGTTAACAGAGAGGAAGGGATAAAGTAGTAAAGCTACCCTCTCTGATTTGGTTCATTTTCTGGGCCAAGAGTGACATGGACCAGCGGTGCAACTCTGCTTTCTAAAAACTGCTAGAATAATGCGAGGTGCTGTGCAAGAGAAGAGCGCCATACCACAGGAAAACAATAGTTTTGTTTGCGACGTCTTTCTAGCCATGTGTCTGTGTGACCGGCCCTACCTGAGGATGAAGGTCTTGTGGTTCCAATTCTGGACCCTCCAAGTGAATTTCGGGTTGATGGCTTTGTGTCTAGGCTGGAGGTCATCTTTAGTGACCCCGTAGAGCTGGTGACCTTGGTCTTTCCGTTTGGGGCTGCGGTACTTCCAGACTTCTGTAGTGTACCTGTTTGTTTCTTGGTCTTGGCAGCTGAATTCTTCAGGTTCTTGCTTGAACGGTCAGCCTCTGAGTCGGCCATGCAGGCTCCAGGCTGGGGTGGTAATGGGGGCAAATCCTTGACCGGGGCTGGTGGCGGGTCATGGGAGGAAAGCTGCCCTCCCATGAGGGAGTAGTGTTGACTGGGATGATCTTGTGGTTGACTGGGCAGGAAAAGACTGCTGGAATCATCATCAGAGTCGATGTCTGCCGTGATAGAAGGACAGTCCTCTGTATTAGGGGGCACATCAGAGTCTGTGGCCGTCGGGAGGGACTCACTAACTGATGTGGGCGGAGTCTCCTGGCTGTAAGCTGAAGGGCAGTCGCTGCTGCTTTGATCCTGTGAATAGTTGTTGTTTTCAGAGAGGTTGGGCGAGCTACTGATAGCGAGGCCGGGGCTAACGTTCTGCTGGTGGTTCTCTGGAGTCTTGGGATGCTGGAACTCACAAGGTGATACCAAGCAGAGATCGACATCATGTGGAACATCTGAGATGAGCTCTGACATCCCGTGGATGTGTTCCTCTGATCCATTTCCACAACGCCCATTATGGTTTGATCTCAGAGGTAAGGCCATCCCACTGTTGGAGTCTGAGTCACTAATGTGTCCGTTGGAGTAGACTCTGTCTCTCATGGGTCCTTTGGGTGATGCTGCAGTAGGGGGTTGCATTTGCTCTAAAGAAAAAGACAGGGATTCATCAACCTCTGTGGAGTGTGGAGAGCCAACCTCAGCCGGCAGGGAGGTCACGGTGGATGAGGAGTCTGGCATAATGTCTTTGAAAGGACTGAGTGTAAAAAGACTGGACTGCTTGTCCTGAGAGGAAGTGGAGTTTTCTAGACCTTCCCTCAGGGAGCTCACGTCAGAGGTCCTACAAGAACCTCCCTGGTTGTAATCCTCAAGGCCCAGACTTGATCCTTTCACCCCAAGGCTGCTGTCCTCTCCTAAAGCCTGAATGTCTGCTTCTGGGGAGACCAACTCCAGAGTCTTTTGCGCTGAGCTCGCACAGACATCATCTGGTCCGTTCTTCAAGGAGCCCCTGACTGGCTGGTGTTCAGTCAGAGTGAGATCACCCTTTGGAGTCTTGGCAAAAGGTGAGGTGGTGGAGGACAAGTCCTGGTCCATGTCCATAGAGCGAAACTTCTCTGGACTCTCTATTGTTGAGGTCTGGTTCTTATTGGTCTTTGCTGCATCAGGCTTGACGACTGTAGTAACCTTTGAGTTTTGGGCTCTGTTCCCATTGTCATCTTCCAATCGAAGTTCTTCGAATTCAGCCGTCATGTCTTCAGGTGTCGACACCTTGGAGTGATCTGCCTCCTTCTGATTTTCCTGCTCCTTTGAACCTGGTTTTCCTTTTGTCCCTTTATTCAAAGTGTCTTTCTTTGGAAGAGTGCCGTCTTTCTTTAGAGCCCCACTCTTCCCCAAAGTTTTTCTCAGTTCTGTACTTGCCGTAGATGCTGCACTTGAAGCTACACTTGTTGCTTTCTTCATTTCTTTAACTGCTAGCTTTGTGGATTTCTTCTCCTCTGTTTTTACATCCTTCTTGCCGTCTTTTTTTGGTTCAGGTTTAATGTCTTTCTTTGGTTTTGTACTTAGAGTTTCCTTCTTTACCACCTCTTTCTTTTTCTCTCCGCTCTCTTCTTTCTTTACAAAAGCAGCAGGGGCCTTATCGTCCTTCTTTTTCACTTCCTTTTTCTCTTCTTTTGACACATCTTTCTTTGGAACAAGCTTTTCGGTAGGTTTAGGTGGCTTTGATTTCGTATCCGCCTCCTTTAGTTTGGGCTTCTCTTCCCCATCCTTCTTTTCTTTAGGTGCTGTGTCTCCTGCTGCCTTTGGCTTCGTTTTCACCTCCTGTTTTTTGACGTCTACTCGTCCAGGCTTGTCTTTCTGCAAGGCACTACTGGGTCTGAAGTCCTTAGACAGGGACTTAAGGCTTTCACGACTCTCTGCTCTTTTAGGCTGTTTCTCTGTTTTGGGTGTTTCTAGGTCCTTCAAACACACAACAGGATGTTTGAGGAAATCCAGATGTTTGAGTTTTTCAAGTCCATCCAGAATTTTGGTTTGTGGTGTGCACCCTGGGAAGAGGACACGGATGATCTTCTCTTGAGGACTGGAAGGATGCCAGACCAGCAAAGCACAAATGGAAACAAGGCATGGTAGTGGAAGATCTGAGCCCTTTACATTTGACCCGTTGTTTGGCCAAACCTGCATTAAAGCTTCAAGGTTTTTGCTGCCGCTGACCGGATTCAGAGTGTACAGCTCCAGACGGCCAACTCCCATCTTTTGAAACAAGATCACCGGTTCTATAGTGGGTCCATTAGACCGGCTGATAGGTTCGGGTTTGATTGCCAGTCTTTGTAAGTGCTGCAGAGTGATTGCCACCTGGTCACAACTCCGCAGCTCGCTGGGGTCTCCCTGTATAGACTTCAGTCTGTCAGGAGCATTGAGGAAGACCACCCCAATCTCAGGGGAGATGAGGTTCTTCATCCACTCCTCTTCCATCTGAGATCCAGCAGACTCTTCTTCCTGCTCAGCTACTTTCCTCAGCAGCAGACTGTTGAGCCCGGGCAGATTGTCCACGCCAATGTGAGTCAGGAGCACTGAATCGATTCTGTCCAGGTGTCGAACTAGTTTCCAGAAGCAGGAGCGGGGATCAGAGCCGCCGTTCACCAGGACGTTAAAACCGTTAACAGCAAAGAAGGCGGAGTCTCCCCTCCCGCCAGGGAAGATGTAGCAGCAGGGCCGCGAGAGCTTCAGGAATCCCACGGTGCTCGGGGGCTCCAGGAGGGCGAAGGGCGACTCGGGCTCCAGAGCCTCGGATAGGTACTCGGTGAACTCCTGCAGACCTTCCATTTCTGGGAAGACAGGGAGGGGGTTTATCCGGATGTTTATGAAGTCCTGCAGGTTGTGTTTCTCCAGCACAGAGTCCTTCCAAAGGCCATAGTTAGGACAGCTGAGGGTGAGGCTGGCCTTCATCGCCGGGTCTGCAGAGCTCAACAACTCTCCGACCTATCAGAACAGAGACATCACATCACTGATGATCTTCTTACTGAACACTAGTAACAGTCATAGCAGCGCTAATCTGGAGGACTGGGATTATATAATATAATCGGGTCAAACAATCTACAGATTTTAATGATAATAAATTAATCGGAGGAACTGATGTGCAGCAGAATCAGCAGCTTATTAAAAGCAACAATAAACGTAGATACTGATGACCTCTGTACTGACCTTAAATACAGTTGTGAGGTACTTCCCTGAGTTAACAGTCTTACCTCCTCATCAGCGAATATGTGGATGAAGTGGTTGAGGGAGAAGCAGCCTTTCTGTAGCACAATGTCTCCGCTGTCTTCCACACACTGACCAGCCAGAACCAGCAGTTTGTGTCGGGACGAATCGCAGATCAGCCGCCGGACCTGAACAGGAAGGACCGCAGGAATTAGATCAGTTCTACAGCGATTTCCCTTCAGGCCGACACTCATCGATGAGACGGGACAGATGATGTGGAACAGAAGGAATAAATGGTGAATGTGTTCACTGAGGAACAAGAGATTGTTTGTTTTCTGTCTCTCTGTTTTCTCACCTCGGAGCAGACAAAGTCCTGAGCTGGATTCACCACAACCTGAGTATCCAGAACGTCTCCGCGGTGCTGCAGAGTCCGCTGACCTGCAGGGACACACAGACAATCAGTCAGAGAGAGCAGTGTGATCTGGACTCTAGTGGTCTAACTGGAACCTGCACTGCTAGAACAGGGTCTCTGTTTGTACCCCCGGACTACAGGAAGTCCTCTCCTTACTTCCTGTCAGCTGCTTGTGTGGTTACCATGACGACAGCTGCAGTGGATAGAGTCTGTGGGCTGTCTGTAGTTTTTAGACCATGTTCAGAAATATAAATAAACTTAATGATTATTATCAACCAGATCTGTTAGTAACAGATTACACAGCTACTGTACTTTACAGATCAATACTACAATATACTGTGTGTCTGTGTGTCTGCAGGCTGATCAGCAGAGTCTCAGCTGACTGACTGCATGGGTTTGAAACAAAATACTTTTTGTTTCACAAACACACACAGTCTGACATCACTTGTATACTGCTAGTAACATATATTATAATACTTATAATATCAACAACAGACACCAACATCTGTCTGTACACAAACAAACAAACAAACAAACAGTCAGTGTTTTCTCACCGGGGACGTGTTCTGACAGGAAGGCTGAGTGTCTGGATACAAACAGTTTGAGCTGCTGATCCAGAACGGAAACATCCAGATCTACAGGCCAACAACGCACTCCTGAAACACACATTAATACATTATTAATACATTAATACATTCATTAATACATTATTAATACATTAATACACACATTATACATAATACAAAATTTATACATTAAAACCACATTAATACATTAATACACATTAATACATTAATACAAACATTTAACATTAAAACACACATTAATACACACATTAATACATTAATACACACATAAAACATTAATACAAACATTTATACATAAAACACACATTAATACACACATTAAATACATTAATACAAACATTTACATAAACACACATAATACATTAAAAACACATTAATACATTAATACAAACATTTATACATTAAACACACTCATTAATACATTATCAAACATTATACATAAAACACAAATTAATAATTATACATAATGCACACATAATACATTAATGCACACATTAATACACACATTAATAATTAATACACACATTAATACACACATTAATACAGTTAATACACCTTAATGCACACATTAATACACACATTAATACATTATTAATACATTAATACACACATTAATACATTAGATACACACATTAATACATTTAATACACACATTAATACATTAATAACCACATTAATAAATTAATACAAACATTAATACATTAATACACACATAACACATTAATACATTAATACACACATTAATACATTAATACACGTTAATACACTTAATGATACACTTCAATACATTA